AAAGAAGTTTCTGGCAGGGTGATTAACAGAGAGAAGTGGAAACTGCCCCAAATGCAGAGTGGCCAGAAAACTCCCATCGGTTTTCTTCTCTCCCCTTTGAACAAGATTCACCAATTTCAGAGTGCCCTTGGTCCCCACCCAGCATGATCTCAGCTGACCCTCACAATTACCCATGCCCGTGAGGCAAGAGAGGTGAGAGAATGATCATCCCCATTTCCTAGAAGAAATTGCGGCCCAGAGAGGCCAAGGAACTTACCCTAGTTCACACAGCTTGTTGAAATCTAAGAGCCTAGACCCTAGGCTCCTGACCGTCAGTCCAGTGCTCTTCTCACCACCCTTTATGAACAAAATAACAATAAAAACGATGGGATCTTGAGGCCTGCAAATGTGCACGTGAAAGAACATAGAGTAAGCAGGCTAGACCACAGGATGGGAGATGGGGGCTGGAGGCTGTGTATAAGCTCTGCACGTAAAATCCTAAATGGACAGGCATGGTTGGCCCTCATCCCACTGAAGGGCCCCCTTTCAGCCTGGCTCTTTTGTGAAAACCACTTTAAGAAAAGGAAAACCATAATTACCCCCTTGGGATGGCAGAGCACTTAAGGGATCCGTCAGAGTGCTGAGCGTGGGCTCGTGCAGCCAGAAAAAGCATATTTAGTGTCATAATTTCATAGTTGGGAAACTAAAATTAAGTGCCTGTTGTTCTTGTAATTCAGACCACAGCGAGTAAAGCTCAATGATATAACCTCCCTGGCTGGGAGAGCGCCATGGAAGCCCAGCGAATTCTTAGGCAGGGCAAACCTCCCCCACTCCCAGGGGAGGTGGGGGTAGCTGAAATCCCAGGGTCTGAGATTAGGGGGAGGGTTGGGGGTTTAAATAGGTTGAGAAACTCTGGACAAAATGACCTTTAAGGCTCTCCGAGGTCTGCCAGCTACGTAAAATTCTCTTGATGATTATCGATTGTTGGGAGAGAATTTCCAGTGTGAAGTCAGAATTTGATTCTCATTTTAAGACACACATAGCACCCCAACCTAACCCCACCCCCCAGGGCATTGGTTACCTTGCTTCAGGCTGCAGAATTGCAACACCAGCCTCTGGCCATAGTCAAGGTCCCTTCCTCCTGCCCCAGCACAGAGATCTAGCTAGGACTGCACATCAGGCTGACCTGGGGAGCTCCTCCTGGGGACTAGTCTTCCCCCAAATGGATCTTCTAGAGCCCTGGTGCCTCCCCTGCTCCTTCTAGGCCTCCCATCAACATGGTCTGGATTCCAAGGCTCCCTCCTCACCTCTCAGCTCCCTCTTCCTCCTCTCTGATGACAACTTCCTCAGAAGGGGGCCCACTCTCCTACCTTCTCTTCCTCACCTTCCATTCTTTTCACATCTCCCCATCACTTCTTGGCAAGGTGGGGCAGAGCCCCAGGGAGCCGCACTGACTTAGCTAGGTTGACCTCCCAGCTGCTGCCTGACACTGCAACCACTACCCTCTGCTGCTTCTTCTTTTTTTTTAAGATGTTATTTATTTATTTATTTATTTGAGAGAGACAGAGAGCAAGAGGTAGTGGGGGGGGTGGTTGCAGAGGGAGAGGGAGAAGCAGTCTCCCCGCTGAGCAGAGAGCCCGATGTGGGGCTCTATCCCAGGACCCTGGGATCATGACCTGAGCCGAAGGCAGACGCATAACCGACTGAGCCACCCAGGCGCCCCACTACCCTCTGCTTCTGGAAAGTCTCTTTGCTCTTGGCTTCTTTCTGTTCACTTTACCTGCTCATTTCTCCATTCATTTATTAGGGCTTAGTACAACCGTGACTAGATCACTTTCCCAAAATGTCTTAATATCCACATCCCACCTTGGATTGTGAACTCCATGAGGGCGGAGGGGGGACAATCTTTCTCACACATGCCTGACGCAGTGCCTGGCACCTGGTAGATTTTGGTAAATGTGCGCTGAGTGGATGCATTTAGCCTCTCCTCCCTTGGTCCTCCCAACCAGGCTGACCGTCCATGCCCCAAGCCCTGAGGGCTGGCAGTAAATTCTGGGAGCTGCTGCCCGGGACAAACGTCTGGGCCATGGCCTGGCCTGTGGTCCTAAAATTCTGGGACTCCCATCCTCTTTCCCACCCTTCTTCCATATTCACCCTGGACCCTTTGGCCCCCTCCCAGGCCTCCGTGCTCCTCAGGCTCTGCTGTCCTCATCTCAGCTGAGAGCTCTACCGCCAGCCTTTTCTCTGCTTCCCCTGGACCGGAACTGGACATAAAAATGAAGAATCATTCAGTGGGCTTCACGGCAGACTGGACACACAGAGGAAAGGACAAATGAATCTGAAAAAAAGGTGGCATAAAACAGGGCATCTGAGGGGCGCCTGGGTGGCTCAGTCGTTAGGCCTCTGCCTTCGGCTCAGGTCATGGTCCCAGGGTCCTGGGATCGAGCCCCGCTTCGGGCTCCCTGCTCAGAGGGAAGCCTGCTTCTCCCTCTCCCACCCCCCCTGCTTGTGTTCCCTCTCTCGCTGTGTCTCTCTCTGTCAAATAAATAAATAAAATCTTTAAAACAAACAAAGAAAAACACAGGGCATCTGAGATCTGTGGGACAATACCCCACTGGTGCAACACATACAAGTGGGGTCCCATCAACCTGGTCTGATGAACTGGGATTTCCCATCCTCCTGTCCTATAGCTATTGGGCTTATATTTTCTTCTTTCTTTGTTAAGAACAGTAGTGACAAGGATGCGGATGTGGGGGGAGAAAAGGAATGGCATGTGGTGTAGGGGTTAAGAGCGTGGGCTTTAGGAGACAATCCTGGGACTGAAACCCTCCTTGGTCATGTGGTATATGTGTGACCTTAAACAGGTCATCTACCCTCTCTGACCTTGGTTTTCTCATCTGTACCTACCCGGTCAGAGTTAGACAAGATAACCCAAGAACCCAGCAGAAACTCTGGCCATGGTAAGTACTCGGTAAGCGCTTTTGTTCTCATTACAAATATCACGGTCTTACTGTCGTTTTCGTTTTTGCACATTTCTTTCCAGACTTGGTCTGTACGCCAATTTTTCAAAAATATTTTCACAATCATGGAGCATTACCATCCAATTTATTCTCTTAAAAAACGACAAGAACAACAAACTGATTCTTCAATATTTCATTTCTCACATTGCTACCAAGTGTTCATTGACATCATTTTAAAGAAGGGGGCTCCACAACCACCCCCTGCATTTTTGGTGGGTTGACTTTTGTTTGTGGTTTTGTTGGTCTCCCTCCCTGCATTATTTAGCCCAAGCTCCCGGTGTGCCAGGGACAGGCAGTTTCCTGCCAATCGCTTACTTTTCCAGAGCGCACCTGGAGCTAAGAAAGGACCTGCGTCCAGGCTCTGCTGCTAACTTGCCTCCCTGGGCTCCCGGGTCCCTTTTTATCCATGACAGGCTCTGCCCTGCCCTCCCCACCTCACAGAGGCACAGTAGCACTCTTCAGACAGACCCGTCTGCCATCATTGCCACTTGTGAGCTAGAAACAATGACACTCAAAGTCCTAAGTCCTCTTGGAGGCACTGGGTCCTAAAAGCTTCCCGGGAAATGCCTGTGATAGTCATGTTCTCTAACAGGGTGCAGAGAAGGCACTTAGAAATTCCTGCTTAGGAGCAGTGGTGGGGTGGTGGGGCCCAGTGATCAAGTGAGCAGGGTTCAGGGCTCCCACCCCACTTCACTTGTAACATTTCTGCCATTGCCCATCTTAAACCTTGGGGCCTCCTTGGAGGATTTAACTGGCACCAGGTGGAAACCATTCACCTGGCCCAACGTACCCACTCTGCAGATGGGAAAACTGAGGCCCTGAGAGGTGAAGGTTAAGCACTGCTCTGGATGACTCCTGAGTGAGGTGTTTGCAAACATCCCTGAAGGGGTGCCCTCAAGATCTGAAATGAGGAAGAACATAGTTCCTCAAGGGAGACCAAGTTTGACCTGGCAGTACATTCTGGAAAGTTTGAAAAATCGCTTGTCTTCTCCAATCCTTTAAACTGGAATGCCAAGGTGAGGTCTGAACACTGCTCCCAGTGGTCAGGAGGTACGTATGACAGAATGAAGGTGAGAGGGGCTGTGTGAACAGTAACAGGTAAGGTAGGTAAAGGCCAGAGCTCCCCTAACTCACCTCACCTTGCTCCAGGGCTAAGAGCTGGGTCTGAGGAGCTCAGGGAGAGAGAAAAGAAATGGCCCTCGCCTGTCCGGTTCCTGGCAAATGCCTCGAGGAGGAAACAGAGTCTTCCTGCTGCCTGTCAGAGTGGCTGACCCCGAGCCTGATCTCAGCTAATTCAGCAGCTCGAGGAGTAGACACCACTCTCCTATCTGCTCTGCATCTCAAAGGTACCAAGAGATCTGGCGTGACTCAGAGGAATTGCTATTGATTTTCACTTGTGTGGCTGACCTAACAAAACGAATTTGTCAAGGGCCTGTCTGCCTCGCTGCTCCAGACACTCATCCTAACCACATGCAAATAAATTACACAAGAATCTAGGGTGATTTGTCAAGGTCCAGCTGGGCAGGGGCCCTGGCTCCCACGGATGGCCTCCAGGCCAGGCTGGGCAGGATCAGGTCAGCAAATACCCCACAGTCGATCCTCTGTTGATCAGCAACATTCTCGGGGGCCCAGGAATCAGGCTGCCTGGCAGCTGCTGCCACACCGTGAACCAACCAGCCATGCCCAGAAAGGGGTTTTGAGGAACTAGGCCCAAGACCTTCAACAGGGCTTGGCAGGGACATCCTCACTGGTGTCTTCTGGTCTCCGACTCCTTGACTCTGGAGGATCTGATGGAGCGTACACACAACCAGGAGGCACCGAGCTCTGATACTGGCTCTGCTACGGGACAAGTGTCTTCAGGTCAGCTATGAGATGGCAATGACACCACCGTCTAGGATGCTATGAAGGCCAGGAGTCAGACTGAGGGTCAAATCCTTGTTCTCCCACTTCCTGCCTGTTGCCTGGGCAGGCACCTCCAGCTCTCAGTGCCTCACCTACACCACAGGGCCGGAAATACTCCCTACCTCCTAGGGCGGAGGTTGTAGGGACTGAACGAAAACACGGAAAGGACCGGAGGACCTCACAACCTCATCTCTCCCTTCTACAAGCAGGGACTAGAGGTTCAGAGGAGGGAATAATGTGCTCAGGGCCACACAGCAAAGCAGGGCAACATCAGGAGGGGTTAAAATGAGAGGCAAGCACGCAAGGCTGATGAGCACAGCAGGTGATCATCCTGCTCTCTCGCTCTCCCGATGGTGGCTGTCACTGAAGAATGGGGTACAGGGGGAGCAGGCCAGGGGCACATCATGGATCATTGCTTGAAAGGGTCAAAAACTTTATTTGCAGGCCTTTTCTGTTTTTGTTTTGGAATTTACAGGTTTCCTGCCGTCCAGGAAGGAAACCACCAAGAGAAGTGGTGTCTTGCTGCATGAAGTTTGTGGGGCTTGCCTTGGGGCTCCGTCCCCATTCCTTTTGCCTGCTCGCTGGCCCCAGGGGTTCCTCCACTGTGGGATAAGGCACTGTTTGTTCACAAGAAGGCGCTCACGGCTGGCTGGTGGACGACGAGGCGGCCTTCTCAGGGGCTGCGAAGCTGAGGCTGTTGAGGGGTGGAGTCGAACTTGGGGCCCTGGCAGGAGGCCAAGTGGGGAGGAGACCCAAGGCTATGGTAACTCAGCCTGGCAGTTCTGGTGCTGCTGCCTCCTGGCTGGCCCTGACGAGGTGGCCTCAGGATGGAATCATGCCTTTGCTTCTTTTGCGGTCAGCCATGGTTCTCCGGTTGTGGTTAGCTCGCGTCGCCTTGTTGGCTTCCTTCTTCCTGCGTTCCTGGGCTGTCTCACGGCTCTGCCCGTGGCCCCGGGGGCTGCCGGCCACTGCTGTCGAGCTGTCATGCCGGTACCTGAGGGAGGAACAAGCCGCCCCAGGGGATGGGAAGAGCACTGCCTTTCTCAGAGGTCCTGGGGAGAGGACACATGGCTCGGGCCCGGGACACCCCTGTCCCCACTTCCGGTGGGAGAAGAAATGGAGCCCAGCAAGGGCAGGGCTCTGGGGGCTCTGGCCGGTCCTGTGTCTGGTGAACTCTCTTCTCTGAGCACTGCCCCCAGATGGGTCCATGGCCTAGCTGCGGGAAGAACCAGCTGTGGGCTGACCACAGCCCACAACAAGGAGAGGCGAGCTTGGGGACAGGGATGGGCCTATTTCTTCCTCTGTAAAATGAGGATGATGATAAAGTGGCTACTTCAGAGCGCTGTCGTGAGGATTAAATTACATGTGACGCATGTAATTCGCTTGGGGTTTATGTGTGGCTTCAGACGTGGTTGGCTGAGCCTTCACCAGATGGGTCCCCTCCCACCAGACACAGCTCTTTAAAATGCTCACCCCTTCCTGGTGAGGAAGGCCATCCGCCTGGCTTCTGCCTTCTCCCGCAGCACTGCAGGGTCTTGCACAAAATGGTTGGGCTGTGGAGGGGAGGGGAGGAAAAAAAACTCTAGAGTCACGAGCAGGCCCATTTGCCTAAGCTGTGGTGAGGCTGCGCCTGACTGAGTCTTGTTGATGCCTCCAGGCCAGGAGTGGGGGAAAGCCACAGTGTGGCAGGGCGATGCCTTAGAATGAAGCGCCCTTGCTTGGGTCCAAGGTTTCCATTAGAAGCCTCTCTTCTCCTTTAGAAGCAGCTAAAGGGACTAAGGCTTCCTGCACAGGCATGGTGGGGCAGGTGGACCATGGTTGGAGCACTGGTGACAAATGGGGGACAGGTCAGAATGGCCACCATGAGAGGCCACAAAGGGCCTTGAAGGCCAAGAGAGCTGCCCCGGAAGCTGCCTCGTCCACACTCTAGTGCCACCACCAATGTGCTCTGGGAGTAGCCACTCTTGAAGACCGTTTTTTGGCCAATAAGCAAAGGAGACTGGACTAGCAGTGGGGAGAACTGTGCCTTAAGGATCACACACAGGCTTTAGTGGCCTGCACTGTTTAAAAAAACACAAACAAAACAAGTGTAACCGGTAACATTTGAAAACTGGAAGATGTTATAGAAAAATCTGGGCTGATCCCTTGCCTGGGTAGAAGAGAAAGCCCTGGAAGCTCTGGGCCTACGTTTCTGCTGAGAAGCCCCTCAGGCAGGGTGTATGTGTGCTTCTACCCCACTAGCCATGGTCTCCATCAGTCTCTGCTACCCCTCTACATCGGGAGCCTGGTCTGGACATACTCCGCTTGTGACCTCGGTGGGAGGGCACGAGGGGCTCCAGGAGTCGCAGGATGCCACTCCATTCAACCTGAGCAACACCGCCCTTATCTGTTTTATACGTTGAGGTTCTAGTTGAGGTTTCATTTGAAGAAAAAGTTCAGCTGCCAAAAAATAGAATTTTCAAACCCACCAGCCCAGATGACCTCCAAGGGCCCTTGGGCTCTAACATCTCTGTGAGTTGCAGAATTGCCGTCCTGGAACGCCTGAGTAGCTCAGTGGCAACTGCTTAAGTGTCTGCCTTTGGCTCAGGTCATGGGTCCCGGGATCGAGTCCCGCATCGGGCTCCTTGCTCACCAGGGAGCTCTGCCTGCCACTCCTCCTGCTTGTGCTTGCTCTTTCTCTGTCTTGCTTTCTCACTCTCTCTGACAAATCAAATAAATAAAATCTTAAAAAAAAAAAAAAAAAAGAATTGCCATCCTGAGCATGGTGGCCGAGAGCTGCCCTTCGCTCAGTCCCCAGGCTCCTGGGCCTAATGGACCCAGCAGCTCAAAGGCTTGGCCTCTAATCCGTCCCCTAAGCCCTCACTGGGTAGTGGAGGTGAGTTCTAAGCTAGCAACTCTCCAAGCGGGCATCCTAGGCTCAAAGGAACCCCTCTTTTCCCGGGCAGGGAGGCTAGGGCTGCCTCAGAGCTAACTGCAGGAAAGCAGGGGTGCAGTGGTCCCAATGCGCCCTTCCGAACTGCACCCTCCCCTTCATGTGCCACCTGCCGAGGAGGTACCTTGGGAGGCTCTTCCTCAGCCTCGTCTTCCTCCTCTTCCTCGTCCTCTTCCCGCCCTTCCCCGGGCACTTTGGTTCTCAGCACCTGAGGGGTGGTGAAGGGCCTAAGGGTTTAGAGAAAAAGTGAGATCAGAGACTGGATTAAATCCGGAGAGGGAGCCTCAGGGAGGAGGGGACTGGGCTGGGAGAGGAGGGGGCATCAGGATGGGGATGGGCTCAGGGAGCTGGAACAAACCGAAGTGCTTTTCAAGCCAGCTGTGCATGCAGCCCCCAGACTCTCCGAGGGTACCAGAGTCCGATGCAGGGGCTTAGCGGAGGCTGAGCTGGCTGGGGCAGCTCTGCTTTCAGCTGCATTGGGAAATCTCTCTAAGATTCCACGGCGGAGAGTTCTCTCCAGTCAAGGAGAACAATCTAAAAGGACTGCATGAAACCAAATAAATGCTGCCCCACTCAGGATGGGTTGGACCAACTGGCCGAGGGTAGAGGGAGCACTGGACTAGGAGTCAAAAGGGCTCAAGTTTGGGCCCCGGCTCTACCACTGACTTGCTCACGTGATCAGGGCCTCGGCCTCCCCATCTGTATAAACGAGAGGCTTTGGGAGCCCCACTGTGCCCCACCCCCGCCCCCTGGGACTCCACCCACTTAGGGCCCTGCAGCCTCACCTGCGGCTGATGAGCTCGTCGTCCGAGTCGGCATCGTTGGCGCCCACCTGGTTGCCATCGTATGTGTCATCATACTCGTCCTCATAGTCATCACCTCGGTAGGACAGGCCCTCGCCAGGCTGCAGGGGCACCTGCAACAGCAGGAGTGTGGGGCCGAGGGGCCCGGGGCTGGCCGGTCCCCCCCTCTCTGCCCCCGCACCCCGGCGGCCTGGGGCCCCTACCTCCTCCACCACCATGCTGTACCGCTCGTAGCGCAGCCGCTGCGCCCCCACCTCCCGCTTGTCGTTCAGCAGGCTCCGTGTGTCCTCCTCCTTCCTGGCGGCGGGTGGGCGGGGACAGCAGAGAGAGAGGCAACCATCAGGCTCTGAAGGCCGTGAGCACGAGCGTCCAAGGCGCCATGGGCTCGGGCTGGCGCAAACTGCCCCGGGGAGAGGGGGCAGGGGTGTGGGCAGGTGCCCATGTGCCCGGGGCCAGCCGCTCTGGAAGGCATCCCAGAAGGCTGCCGCCATGGAAAACGTGCCCACCCTTCGGCCGGGAAATTCCGCTCAGAGGCGCCCACCCTAGGGAAACGCTGGTCAGGTGCATAAAGAGGTCTGATGCGGAATTTTCTTTTCAACGTTGTTTGCGACAGTGAAAAATGGAAAACAGCTAGTGTCCATCGCGGGTGAAATGGCCAAATGATATGCCATATCTATATTACAGAACGCTGGGCGTCCTGTTATCGAGAATGACATTCATCTATTTGTGCTGATGCAGAAAGAATTCTAGGATACTCCTGAGGAAAAAAGCAAGCTACAGAAAAATGTATACAGTATGATTCCAACTGTATAAAAAGCAGAAAGCAAACCAGACAAACTATCTGTTCCTATGAGCACAGCGATTATAATTTACATATGTCAATGCACAGACAGAGCTAGTAAGTCCCCCCCCAAATGACAATGGTCACTCCTCAGTAGGGCCTGGGATTATTTGAACCTTTTAAAAAAAACCAAAAATTTAGGGGTGCCTGGGTGGCGCAGTCAGTTAAGCCTCCGACTCTTGGTTTCAGTTCAGGTCATGATCTCAGGGTCCTGGGATCAAGCCCCTCATCGGGCTCCATGCTCAGCATGGAGTCTGCTTGAGATTCTCTCTCTCCCTCTCCCTCTGCCCCTCCCTCTCATGCTGTCTCTTTCTCTCTCTAAAATAAATAAAATCTGGGCGCCTGGGTGGCTCAGTTGGTTAGGCGACTGCCTTCGGCTCAGATCATGATCCTGGAGTCCCGGGATCGAGTCCCGCATCAGGCTCCCTGCTCGGCAGGGAGTCTGCTTCTCCCTCTGACCCTCTTCCCTTTCATGCTCTCTATCTCTCATTCTCTCTCTCTCAAATAAATAAATAAAATATTAAAAAAATAAAAAAATAAAATAAATAAAATCTTTAAAAAATAAAAAACAATAATTTAAGAAAGAGCAAGGCCACATGTGGCCCTCTTACTGAGCTCAGGGGAGCCACAGGGGACCTCAGGGGGCTGAGGGGTGAGCAGGAGTAGCTGCCTTCTTTTTCCCACCCCTGTTTCATCACGGTGGCTTTCTATCTGTTCTACAGTTCAATCGTCCATGTCAGATTACACTGGAAGAAAAAAGTCCAAAAGTTCAACTCCTGTTATATATCACAGGTGAGGAAATTCGGGTGCGGTGGAAGGAAGAAGAGGGACGTGCTTGGGATCAGTGAACTGCAGCACAACTTCAGTGGGGACTCAGGCCTCTTGACTGTGGCTTTGCAAACCTGGAGAAAAACTTGGCTTGTCAGACACATAGACAGGCCTGTGGAATGTAGTTTCTGGCCCTGCAGGGGAAAATCAATATGAGATGCCAGGCAAGAAAATCCAGCTTAGCTGTGAAATCAGTTTTCCGGAATGTATCAAGGGTAGGGGGGAAAAAAAAAGGAGGAAGAAGAAAGAAGAAGAAGAAGAAGGAAGAAGGAAGAAGGAAGAAGAAGAAGAAGAAAAAGAAGAAGAAAAAGAGATACAAAGTCATACATAGCTTCCATAAAAATCTTCTATTAACTGGTTTTGATGCAGGGAGGGAAAGGGGCCTGAGTCTCTCAGGCTGTCTGCCTGGGAGGCTGGGGCAGGTCAGGATTTGGCTTCCTTCAACAGTTTTTACTAAGGGCCTACTATGTGCCAGGCAGGGCTGCGGGAGAGATTCAAAAAAGATTAAGATCTGGATCTGGCCTCGTGGAACTGCCAGTCTTGAGAGGGTCATGGGCAAATGGCAGCTAACGTGAAATGTGCTAAATGGAGGTAAGCATGCCCTGGGAACACAGAAAGGAAACATGACCTCTGGATTAGGGGGTCTAGTGGTGGGGGAGAGGAAATGGAGCCTCTCGGGGGGCTGGGGGGCACTGGATCTAGACCAGGGAAAATTCTTGGTCCACAGGAAAATTTTATGTCATGCCAGGAAAGGGGGCCAGTGACTGCAGCCCCAACCCTTACCTGGCTCTCTTCCCCAGGCTGGGGGCTAAAGAGGAAAGAGGCGGGGAGCAAGGGAAAGGGGCCTGAGCCCGTCCAGGTGTTTGGGGACACTAGAAGGAGCACATCCCCTCTTTCCACACACATTTCCAGAGAGCCTACTAGGTGCTAGGACCTGTGCTGAGCCAGGCGTCCAAGGATGAATGAGAGGTGTCACTGTCCTTTCTGCCACACCCCACAGCTCCTGGTCCATCTGGTCCCCGGTTTTCATGCATAAGGTCCCGCTGTGGGCCTCTGGTTATGTCGCTTCCCTGGCAGGGCTGGAGAAGCCTTGCCAACTTTACCTACCCAGGGTCCTGGAGAGGACACAGGCAGGGACATTGGAACCTGGTGCCCTGGGCATCCCATCCAGGGAGGTGCAGCTTTGGGCCCATGACCCCATTCAGAACCAAGAAGGAAAAGAAAAGTCAGGGGCAAAGCCAGCCAGGAGAAGATCCATCTGAGGGCCAGAAGTCCAGTCAAGTCTGGAAACACAGGCAACAGGGGTTTTGGAGACTTTGGAGCAGGTGCTTCCTCGGCCTCCTACAAGATGACAGGGAGCCCAGGGAACATGTGGGTTCCCCTGAAGCCCAGCCACTTTTTCCCCTCCTCACTTCTTCTGGCCTATCCTTCAAAGCCCAACTCAAACTGGCCCTTGCGGGGGGGTGATTCCCATCTCTGAACTCCTAAAGGACCTGAGGAGGCAAAAAAACCCTCCTTTTTCGAGGTGAGGAAACGGAGGTCCCAAGAGCCAGAGTGCCTTTCCCAAGGTCACCCAGCTTCTACCAGCCGAGCCAGGGCCAGATCACAGGTCTACTGACTCTGGTCTGCTCAGGTACTTCCTGAGCTGTGCGATCCATCACAAGCAAGCCTCTTATCCTTGCCAAGTCTTAATTCTGCATCCCAGGGATGAAATAAGATGATGACTAAAAGTGAACCTGGCACCTGCTGAGCTCAACAAAGTGAATCCTGTCTCTTTTTTCTGCAGGACTTGTCAGAGCCTTTAATGTGCTAATGCGCTCCGTGTCTCTCCAAGAAGCCAAGTGCACAGATATTTTTTTTTGGCCATAGACACTTTTCTGAGGGAGAGCATTCATAATCTACCAGGGTGCCTCTGTTCAGTCCAAAGGAGTTATGCGACCCCACCTTATACACACTGCCTCCTTCCCTTGGCTAGCAATTACCTGTAGCACATGTGCCTGGCATCTACCCAACAGCCACCGTCCACCTCATCCCACTCCTAACAGACCCTCGTTTGGTTCAGGTCTTTCCACCTTTCCCCCTTCTGGAGCCCTGGACCTCGGCCCTGTGACCCAGCTCCCCACTGAGATGTGAGCAGAGTCTGGAGACTTCTGGGAAAGGCTTCCTGGTCTCTAAGAGAGATACAGGAAGATCTGGTCCAGACTTCCTCTTGGCACTGTCACCTCTGGAGGTCACGGCTGAAACAGCTGCAGCCACCCAGTGGCTTTGAAGGAACTAGCTCCAAGAGTTGGCAAAGATGTGTCCTTGACGATGAGGCTGTACCACAGGTTAACCAAGCCTAGATTGCCCTACCTTGCAACTCCCTGTCGTGCAAGGAACAGATTTGCCTATTACTAGAGCCACTGAGAGCCTCTTATTTGACTTAACCACACACATATATTTTAACTCCAGTGTGACCTGCCTTGGACTACTTTTCTCATGTGTCTGCTGACTGCCCTGCCCAGTTTAGGACAGGTGTCCTCACTGCGGTCCCTGTATGCCCCACCCCAGCACCTCTCCCACTCTGCTGCTACTTGTTTAATGGTCTGAGTCTTTCCCACGGTCTCTGTGCCATTTGAGAGCACGACCCGGGTGCCCTGCTCACCTTGTCTCCCTGGTGTCTAGCATAGGATCTGGAGCTAGTAAATCACTTAATAAACATTTGCTGAATGAATAAATAAATAATGAACACATAAATGGAGGCTTTGCCTCTTTACAATCCCCAGCTCCCAGGCTACCCAACACAATGAGTTCAGTAAACATGTGCCGCCCAGTCTCTCTGCCTGGCAGCTTGGAGTGCCCTAGAAGCAAGGTACAGCCCTTCTCATCTTCCCCTTTCTCCATAGCAGGAGCTGCAGAGGGTCATTCTGGTCTGAACAGCGGCCACGGATGCAGGATAACATCTCTAGCCCGGGATCTGGGGATGTTGCAATGTGTGTGACTAAGCAGTTTACAACTGCTTCCTGTCCAGCCAGCCAGATGGCTTTATAGCTGCCCTGCACCCGCTCCCCCCAAGCCCTCGGCCAGCCAAGCTTCCAGCAGCCGACGGCCCTGGGGAGAGGAAGCAGCATGGGGCCCTCTCTGAAGCAGCAGCTTACGATTCTGCCACTGGGGCTCCTATCACAAGAACGGGGCAGGCCTCCCACCACTGCTCTCTGAACCTCACTGTCTCCATAGGGGGTGTGTGTGTGTGTGTGTGTGTGTGGCAGAGAGAGAGGGCAGCCTGTACTTGTCCAGCAGTTCCCAGATTTAGAGATTTCATGAACCAATACCATTTAGGGAAACCCTGGGGAAAAGCACAGTGTTGTCAATGTCTTAATGTGCCTTTTATATTTTTTGTATATATTTATATACTTTGCCTCTGTCATCACTACTGACTCGTGGTCCCTCCAATGGGCCTCTACTCCAAAGCCAGGTCCTCTTTCCAAAGCATAAAATGTGTCAGCTCATGGGACCCTCACCATGCTCCCCATGACCTCGGGGTCACTGCCCCTGTTGTTTGCTCTGCCTGGAAAATCTCTCCTCCCCCCTCCCCCACTTTGCAGAATTGGCCCTTTGACCCTTCCTCATCCTTCCACTGTTGATCCCATGTCACTTCCTCAGAGGAGCCTTCCTGCCCAGATCAAAGCCCTTACTAGAAGCTGGGAAGTCTGCACACCTTCACCTTATAGTGCCTGTTAGATCTGCAATGTTACTTGGCTTGTTTGACCAACTGATTAGTGCAAACTCCACAGGGCCAGGGGCCATGTCTGTTTTACTGCCCACTACATCTCCAGCACCTAATAAATCCAGGGCCTAGTATGCCATGAGCACCAGGCAAATATTTGTTGAATGAATGAATAAATCATAAATGGACTTTTCAATGCCAAAAAAGTAGAAAGGACATAAACTAAAAATAAGTAGAAAGACCTTAAAATAGAATATGTTCACCCTCTGAAAAGCTCACTTAGTACAGGTCCTTAATTTTCTCATTTTGTCACAGAATGGAGAAAATCACGTGGAGGAGGGGCTTCTGGAAAGTACAGCTCAGCTCTATCGCCCAGAGATTTGATGGTTGACACATCCGAAGATATAAGAAGGGAAGAAGGGGAAAGCTTAGGTCCCGCTGGCCTTTTGCTATCAACAAGGGGATTCATTAAAAAACCACCCTGTGCAGAGTCAGAGCCTAACGTATAACCATTAGAGAACCTGGCCCTGCCTGCTGGGAGCACACAAGTCCTGGACTGCTGGGTGGGGGGGGGGGGGACCCTGGACTGCTAGGGACCCTAAGCTGAAACTCAGGTCACTTCCATAAAGGCGGAACTCTTTTTTTCGATTTTCTCACTGCACTTACAGAGGTGGGGTGCTTGGCACCCCACAGCCTACTGCACTCACCTCCTGCCCTTGTGCACCCGGCTCAGGTCCACTGAATCTCTGCTAAACACATCAAACTCATCATTCTGGAAGATGTTGTGACGAGATGTCAGCAAGGGTGTCGGGTCTGGCTTCATCTGCCTGGGAGGTGACACAGAAATCAATTTAAGGGGGACTGGTTAGCTGATGCCTACTTGTGCCCTACTGGCCCCTACCATGTGACATCCATCAGATTCTCCACTCCCCTTCAACAGCCACACGAGACATGATCTAAAACCCTGCCCAGTCTGGCCCCTCCCTGGGTACATAGCCATCCCTCATGCAAAGCTCCCCCTCGGTCCCACGTGCCGTTCACACAGATTTTCTTAAAAGTTTCCTCCCTCGCCGAACACTCCCAACAGTCTGATGAGATGGGTCGCTAAGATCACTCAACCTTTCTGTGCCTCAGTGCCCTCCTCTGTAAAATGGGCACAAAGTGGCTAAGGAACTTGTCCAAAGACAGAGCTAAGTTCATCCATTCAATAAACATAATTTGTTTATGCACATTTGTGCATCCATTCCAGCGGGCCCATGGGCCTTCAGAGAAGCAGTGGGCCAAACTCCGAAAGGTAGGTGTGAGGAAAGTGAGAAGCTCTGGCCGTCCTCCCTCAGGAATCTACTGGAAGGATGACAATGACAGGGGCAGGCCAGAAACTTCGGAGCTCTGAGAGGCTCAGCAACCCCTCTGTCACATGTCACGTTTCTAATCGGTCCTCCAGCGAAGTGCCGAAGAGCCATCCAGCTACGCACACTCTCCGCCCTGCAGGGGGCATGTGAGGACCTCCTGGGGGCCTAAAGTTCTGATGTTTTCCCAAGGCAGCCATTCATTTATATGGTTGGCGGATGCTACCGTGGGGAAGAGACAGAGGGCTGAGTTCTGGCACAGGAGTGGGAAGCAGAGGAGCTAAGAAGGGGCCTGGGACAAGGCCCCCAGAGTGCCTCCGGCCAGGGCCCTGACACAGCATGGGAGCCGTGAGCCACCTCCCACCTGTCTTTCCCACCTGTCTAGGCTGCGGTCCAGCTGGCTGAGGGCCGGGGCCAGCCGCTCCTCCAGGATGTTGTTGATCACCTGCTCCGGGTTATAGGCGTAGTGCTCCAGGCAGGCCAGGATGAAGCCCTCACCGAGGTCTGGCAGCAGGTCCTTCACTTGGGAGATGAGCGAGTCCAGCTCCACGCCACACACGGGGGGGCCCAGGGCGGCCGCCGCCCCCATGCACTGCGGAGAGAGCTGGAGTGAAGGCAGGGAAGACCGGGCCAGGGGGGTGAGAGGGCCACAGGCCCCGACATGCACAGGACCGGGAATCAGGCGACTTGGTATGAGTCCTGGCCTGCCACTCCTGGGCCGAGGATCTCAGCCAAGTGACTCAGGCCTCTTGAGTCTTCGTTTCCTCCCCTGGGAAAAGGGGGGTTCTGTGACTTACTGGGAGAGTTACTTCTGGCTGTGTGACTTTGGGCAGGGTACTTTCCCTCTCTGAACCCTAGCTTCTTCCATACAAAACAGGCATACTACCATCCACTTCATGGGGTTGTTTCAGATGGCTCAGAGAGAATCATGCACCCGAAGCACCGAGCACAGTGCCCGGGGAAGAACAGGCACTCCATAAATGGCCGTGGCTTCCACTCATTCTTATCCAGCTCTAACAAGTTGATGGCTGACATTGGAGAAGAACAGCAATCACCAGCCTTGGACTGTGGGGAGCTGCTCCCCTCTGATTATATTCTTTTTAAGAAGGGGGATTCAGTTCAGATCCTGCTTGATGTGACTGAATTCTGTTAGGTTTTTCATTTAAGAAAATTCGCAAATAGGGGCGCCTGGGTGGCTCAGTCGTTAAGCGTCTGCCTTCGGCTCAGGTCATGATCCCAGGCTCCTGGGATCGAGCCCCCCATCGGGCTCCCTGCTCCACGGGAAGCCCGCTTCTCCCTCTCCCACTCCCCCTGCTTGTGTTCCCTCTCTCACTGTCTCTCTCTCTCTCTCTGTCAAATAAATAAATAAAATCTTTAAAAAAAAAAAAAAAGAAAATTCGCAAATCAAACAAACAACAACAAAAATCATCCATGTCTCAGCTAAGAAGCCAAATGCGGAAGAGGGTGGGAAAGGTGGAGAGGACTGTCATTTTCCAAGGCCCTGTGGCAGTCATGGGCCTGAGTGTAACAGGAAGGAAAGTAGCATCTGTCAACAGAGCACAGAGGGCCAGCTGGGCTCGGGGCCCTCCACACAACCACTCTGGGAATCCCAACAAACTTGTGGAGGCAGGGATGGTGACTGTCCCCACTTATAAATGGGGAACAAAGGCTAGAGGGGAGTGATGGCCACATAGCTGGGGAGTGGCAGAAGCCGGGTACACCCCTGAGCTGTCTGACCCCAGAGACTGGGTGGCCTCAATCCCTACGTCACGCTGCCTCCCAACATGCAAGGAAGAGTCCTGGGCTCAGGGGCCAGTCGGTACAGCTGTAGACTTGGTGAGTTCTGGAAAAGCCTGGAGAGAAAGTACTAGATCAGGGGCTTCCAAACTCGCTCAGTGGAGCCCTGCAGTCCCTTGGCGGGGCATCCAGGCTGGCCAGGCAGTGAGACCAGGCGCTGCTCTCCGCTGCGGCCAAAGTAGTGCCACGGTGATCTGCTTAGAGGAGAGCTCCAGGAAAGATTTCATGTGGAAAAAGCTCCAGCGCTTCATTTTATAGGACAGAAACTGGGGTCTGGCAGCTGAAGCGACTTGCAGGACTCTCTAAAGGCAGCTCAACGCTGTCCATTCCAAAAGAAACCTTTTTCTCTGAGAGCAGAAACCAAAAAGGGAGAGGTTTCCCGCAAGGGCAGGGGAAGCAGGGGAAAATGCTGCTCCAAACACACACCTCCTCTTCCTCTGAGTTTTCTGGATGTGAGGACGGTCCACCGACTGGCTCCGCCAACACAATGACCCCATTAGGATCCTCGGCCACCGGTGGGTCTTTAGCATCTGTGGCTTTCCGTCGGTCCACCCCTTCCCACGCACTCTCGACCGCCTGGAGGATGTAGGCAGTCCGTGTCTCGTCCCTGTGACATGTGTTAAGGAGTCTCTCTCTTGGGTGCCAGGGCCTTTTCTGCCTCCCTCGCTCAGAGGCAGCATCATTTCTCAATCCCTCCCTGGCATCTGACCCTATGGCTTGTGTTAGGGGCTATCTGGGTTGTACCCAGTGGGCATGATGGGCACGCGGGCTGCGTGGGGAAATAGGCCAGACCACGACCACACTGGCCTTGAAACCTAGTACCTGCCACTCAGCAGAAAGCAGCTCTGGATGAAGACAGGGCCAGGGGCATCCTGGGACATGATATTTGGATGAGCCAGCAGCTCCTCCTCTGTACTGACCCCCAGGAGGAGGGCTTGATGGGGTACTGCCACCAGGCTTCCTGTCCAACTAGCTGAGGGCTTCCTGCAAAAGCTGAGGGCCCCGAGGGTATCCCTGAGGCGACACTGAGCGACCTAGCCCAGCCTCCAAAATGGCCCACGGGCCCTTCTCCCTGTCCTTCCTCCCTCTCTACCACCCTGGGCACTGCCAAGCCGGACATCTGGGAGTTGCCCTAGACGCCATCCCTCCCCTTCTAATCCACACCCCCACTGGCCATGCCTGGATGTCAGCCACAGCATCCTCACCAGCCCCTGGGCCTCAAAGAGGTCCCAGGCCAGCCTGTTCTCCTCCCTGTGCCAGACAGAGCTTTTCCAAAGTATAAAACTGACGCTGTTACTCCCTGTTTCATACCTTTCCATGACACCCCAGTGCTAGTAGGACAGAGTCCAAACTCAGTGAGTGTCATCCCAGGGCCGTGCAGGTCTGCTCAGCCCCAGCTCATTTGCCATGCCATAGCTTCCTCCCACTAGACCCCGGCCCCCCAGTCCCCCAACCCCTGCCCCCCCGATCTACACAAAATGTCTGTGGGCTCCCCAGATGGGCCTCTCTGCCCTCCACCCACTGGGAACACTTAGCTCTGGGTTTGGCCTCCTCCACTTTCTTCTGCTGTTCTCAGCTCGGGTATCACTTCTGTCTCATAGCCTTACCCTGAGCTTGCTTGTTTACTTGTCTGTTTCCCCTCTTGCAATGAGGTCTGTGAGAGCAGGGCTGAGTCCATGTTGGTCACACAGGCCCAGACACTCAGGAAACACCTACAGAACGCAGGACTCCTACCCCACCCAGCTCTGAGGATCAGAGTAGTCAGTCATCTCCTTCAGAAACAGGGACTGGGGCTTTGGCAGGCGCTCTGGGGAAAGCTGGCTGACCCATGGGTTCTGGAGCTAAACCTCCCTCTGCTCTTCTGGGTCCTAGCAGCCCATCTCCAAACTGGTCAGGGCAGGTCCTGTCCCAGTGGCTGTGGAAGGATACAAGACTGCGGAGGCCTGCTGTAGCAAGCTGACATCATCGGCCACAGGGAAGAGTGTGTCGTAGTCCCGGAGGAACCTGCTGGGCAGAGAGCAAACGGAAGGGACAAGGCTGGTGCAAAGGGGCGCTGGTCTGCTGCCCAACCACAAATCCCAGAACCTTAAACCATGGTGAGCATATGGGAGAGGCTCTAGTATGTAAGGCCTCGTGCAGACTGGTCCCAGCTCAGCCACACTCACCTCTTCTCCTGCAGTAGGGAGCTGAAGATCTGAAGGAACTCTTCAATGAAGCCCTGAATGTTGTCACAGCTGGAACAGGACACCAGGGAAGATGAGCTCACTGGATGCAAATGATCTGTGGCTCCCCTCCCTGCCTCCCGCCCCGCTCCTCTACAAGGCCTCAGGCCAGTTACAGGAAAGAGGCATGTGTCTCTTTTTCCCATCTCTGCTCAGCAGGGAAGGGGGCAGATGAAGTGAGGGGAACACCTCTGCTGGGCTTGGGGAGGGGGTTCTTCCACCCAGGCAGCTGCTCCCAAGGGCTCACCTGCTTTCCAGGACAGGGAGAAGGCAGATCTGGTTTATGAGGATGTGAAAAATCTCCAGTAGCTTCTTCCTGGAATGGGACAGCCTCTGCCACAGGTCACCTAGCAGCCTTTGAAGGCCAGAGAGAGAGAGAAAAAAAAATAAGATTTAGGAGATAAAAAGGCCCAGAGGGAGCTTATTCTCAACAGTTGCAGGTGCCCCTCCCCAGGGCTGAGAAAGCTTCACGATTCACTGTGGATAGCAGTTGGCAAAAAGGCTACAGGCCCTGAGAGGCTAGCTGATTCCAGGGCCGCTTCTTGTTTAAACAGTGGTTGTGAGGGGCGCCTGGGTGGATCAGTCGTTGGGCGTCTGCCTTCGGCTGGGGTCATGATCCCAGGGTCCTGGGACTGAGCCCCACGTCGGGCTCCCTGCTCAGCGGGAAGCCTGCTTCTCCCTCTCCCACTCCCCCTGCTTGTGTTCCCTCTCTCGCTGTGTCTCTCTCTGTCAAATAAATAAATAATAATACAATCTTAAAAAAACCCAAAAAACAGAACAGTGGGTGGGAAACCGGCGAGCAGATTAACAACAGCTTGGAGCAACAGCTGGGGGGTAAAGGCTAGGGTGCAGGGGCCGGGAGGCTGCCAGGCAGGGACACTCCATGGGGCCACCACCTCGTTCTTAGAGATGGGGATGCTGAAGCCCGGGGAAGGCAGGGCCTCTCCCTCCCCCATGACAAGGCACTTAGTTTTGTCCCCTGCTCACTTGCTATCTTCAAGTCTCCTCTTCTTCATTGCAGACTCCAGTTCAGGAATTGCTATTTCATAAAAGGAAGCTAGTCTGTGGAGGCGCGCATGGGGAGAAGGTGGGATTAGTTCATAAAGACCACACTTCATCAGAAAATCAACAGCAACTCATGGGAAGGGGGAAGGCCCATTTCTTGCTAAGTTGTCACCACAGCAATTTGCTCCCAGAACCACCCCAGCTCTTCCCCAAGCTCACCCCAGACTGGGTCCGCTGTGGCTGGAAGAGCCTCATGAGAAGTGACTTGTAGCTACATCACCCTTTCACTTGGGAAACCAAGGCCCAGACAGGCTCCTTCTCACAGAGCAATGAGAGGGCTACTCAGAACTCACTGAGGTTTGAGAAACAAAGAAGGTCGCTCTTTTTGTTTGCTCAAACCTGCCAGCAGTTCCCTACCTCCTGTGACATCAAACTGTAACTCCTCTCTCTGGTTCATCCATAGCTGGCACGGAGTATCCGACCCTGCTTCTCACCTCGGCAACCGCACAGCCACCCCCCTTCCCAACTCAGATTCCAACTCTCCGTCCCAGCCACACGCTTCCTGGTAATGCTCACCCACGTGATGACTTCTTCCTGGAACTAGGTGCGCAGCACTCGGAGTATGTTACCCTTACAACTTAAAATGTAGCTGCCTCTCTTCTGTGGTCAGATTCTTCCTCTGAATGTCTTACGCTTCCCAAAGCTGAAACTGCAGCCTCAGGGCCTAGGACTGCTGCTGAATTTGTAGCAGATACTCTGTGAACACTTCACTATCAACTGGCTGGATTCTGGCAACTTCTACGCTAGTGTAGTCCCACACACAGCAGAGGGTAACTAGGCCCAAAGAGGCAGGCTTTCTAGGCCCACAGCATGACACCCAGAAAAAGACAGAGGGGGCAGTTTGGCCCAAACTGACTCAGGTGTTGCCAGGATACACTGCTGGTGGGAGGGTAAATTGGAACAACCCCTATGGAGGGTGATTTGGCGAGATCTATGACAATTTAAAATGCACAAACCATCTGTTCTTGTGATTCTACTTCTAGGAATCTATTTCTCAGATGTACTTGCAAAGGTGCAAAATGATGTATGTACAGTTATTCCTTGTAACATTTTTCTGTAATAGCAAACAACTGAAAAAAATCTAAAGGTCGATCTATGGGGTCTGGTATTCTAACACAGTACAATGGAATTCTATCTAGTCGTACCAAAGACTGAGGTTGCTTTGTGTACTGATACACTTTAAATTTAAAAATAAAACGCACCCAGCCTCTGGAACTATAAGAAATAAATTTCTGTTGTTTAACAAATAAATTATTTAATTAAATAAAATACAAACAATACATATAGTATTCATGTCAGCAGTTAATTTAAAAGGCAGGGGGTGGGGGTGGATGCCTGGGTGGCTCAGTCAGTTAAGCATCTGACTCTTGGTTTCAGCTCAGGTCACGTTCGCAGGAACATGGGGTTGAGCCCCACATCGGACTCTGCGCCCAGCAGGGAGTCTCCTTGAGACTCTCTCTCCCTCTGCCCCTCCCACTGCTCGTGCTCTCCCTCTCTAAAAATAAATAAAATCTCGGGGTGCCTGGTGGCTCAGTCGTTAAGCATCTGCCTTCGGCTCAGGTCATGATCCCGGGGTCCTGGGATCGAGCCCTACATCGGGCTCCCTGCTGCATGGGAAGCCGGCTTCTCCCTCTCCCACTCCCCCTGCTTGTGTTCCCTCTCTGTGTCTCTCTCTGTCAAATAAATAAATAAAATCGTAAAAAAATAAAAATAAGTAAAATCTTAAAAAAATAAAAATAAAAGGCAGAGGGGGTAATATGTAATGTGCACATTTGCTTATATTTATATGCATGTCTCTGGAAAGCTCCACACAAAAACCCTAACAACAATGGTGGTGTGTGAGAATGGGACTGGGGAAGGGGAAGAGGTAGACTGCCTTTTATATATACATACATATTTATTATTATTATTTGTTTTATTTAAGTAAGTTCTATGCCAAATGTGGGGCTTGAACTCATGACCCAGAGATCAAGAGCTGCATGCTCTACCGACTGAGCCAGCCAGGTGCCCCTCATTATATATTTTACACCTTTTGAGTTTTGAACCATGTGAATGTATTATTCTTTCATAAAATTAAGTGATAGAGAGAGATACTCAGATACACTTGAGGATGTCTGGGAGGAAGGAGGTTGTTCTGAGAGGACTAGCCACAGAGCTGTTTGGTGGCTGTAGCCCCTTCCAGAAAGTTGCAGGCACTGAGGTGGCTGTATTTACTCAGCGGGCGTTCCCGGCCTCCCACACAGTGTGAAAAGGCTGGGCCAGCCCTGGACTGTTTGTGGGTCAAAGGCAGTGTCCTTGGTAGTCAACCCTGTTTTCCTTTCTTCCTCCCTCCTCACCCTGAGACGGGTGGAGCTGCTCCCCTGCCTTCACTGTCCCTTGCAGGAAAGTCAGTTCTTCCAAAAATTACCCTCTGTTTCCAAAGACCCTTTCAAAAGCAATCTGCCACATTTGGGAAGATGCTTTAACAAAATGGGAAAATGCCTATGGGGGCGCCTGGCTGGCTCAGTTGGTAGAGCATGTGACTCTTGATTGCGGGGTTGTGAGTTTGAACCCCACATTGGGGGCAGTTTACTTAAAAAAAAAAAAGAAAAGAAAATGCCTATGGTAAGTGAAGATAAGCAGGATACAAAATCCTAAAAATAGCATGATCTCTCGTAGTGATTTTAATTTTCTACCTTTGGGGATTCTACCTATGAGCATTTGCCACTTAACCAGGAAAAGATACCTTTTCAAAAAGGGGACAGTTACAGCTACAGGCCCATCCTAACCCCTTTCTTCCAGGCAGAGTGCTGATTGGCGCTTTATTCTAACATCCTCTGGGAGGCTGATCAGTCCTCACACGCAATGTTCTCGAGCTGAGGAGACCCAGGAGGGGTCAGAGCGCCAGCTGCCACCTCTGATAGAGGTCAGTGCTAGATACATGTTTTGGTGAATGGGCGAGTAAATGAATGGACTGGTGGCTGAGTGCACAGAGTTGGGCAGCTCCCAGGAGCTCCTGCAAATAGTGGGGAGAGATGTCTGGCAAGAGCGACAGCCAGAGGCCACTGAGAACAGGCCAGCCCCTCCCAGGCAACGTGCAGGTTACCAGCCCAGGCCTGAGCACCCCTTTCTCCCTGCACAAGGAATAGACAGATACTCAGGATACTAAGTGGGTAAGGCGGGTCTCCCTCCCTACATCTTTACTCATATCCTTCTCTACGTCTTTCCTCATCCTGGCAGGATCTTTCTATAACTCCTTTGGATAAAAGCTCCCAGTGGCTCTCTACTGCCTACAGAATAAAGGCCCCACTCCCTGCCAGCGAGGTCAGGGCTCCTCACAATCTGGCTCTCACCAACCTCTCCAGAGCGTCTCTTGTTGTTAGCTGCTCCTTTTCCTGCTGCTCTGGGCCCTGCCTCATCCCACTCCACTCCCTGGCTCTCCCTTGACACCCTCTGGGCCTTCCCACCTTCACTCTGCCTGCCTGGAATGCCCTTCCTGCCACTGTAATCCTTTTGTCTGGAAGATTCCTGTCCATTCTCACTTAAGGGCCATCATGAAACCTCTTACTTCACCAGACAGAATTTTGCCTCCCTCCTCTGTGTTCCTGGAGTGCTTCATAATATGGCCACAGCAGCCGACCCCACATGTGAGCATATCTGCTTGTTTCCTTGAGTGCGCTCTGCTCTAGACCAGATGCTGAAGTCCTCAGACCACTTCTTATGATCTGTTACTCCTTTGTGCCTGCCCATGAGAGGGGCTTTGAGACAACGGAACTGAACTAAAACTGCCCTATTCTTGGTTGGTGGGTTTTTTCCCTCCCTTACCTAGTTTTTTTTTTTTTTTTTT